TAGCTTGAGGCTCCGTCTCAAAAAAAAAAAAAAAAAGATATTTCTGGCAAAGAAGAGTCGCATACAAGGTATTATAGGGGTCTGAACATAACAACATAGCTGGTTTTAGGGAAATAATTGGTATTAGTGTTTTCTCTAAAATGAACATAACCAATATTCTTTTTTTGTTTGTTTGTTTGTGGTTTTTTGCAGTTTTTGGCCGGGGCTGGGTTTGAACCTGCCACCTCCTGCATATGGGGCCGGTGCCCTACTCCTTTGAGCCACAGGCGCCGCCCCAACATAACCAATATTCAATAGTAAGATTTTGGATTGTAATTTAGTATCTCCCAAACCAAACTCACTCTTAACAGAATTTAGTTGTTTTAACCTCAAGGACAAAAATGGTTGATATCACTCTATTATAGCTGTTCTCACATGGAGTTGGACATTCAGACTACATTGGAGGACAATTTGATCAATAACAGATACTTGTACCAAGTTCAAAAAACACAAGCTTATGAATGTAGTAAATGGAATTACTCAGTTAAGAGCTAAAGGTGAAGAACAAGAAATAGGGACAAGTTTGCAGACCTACAAAAACAATAGCAAGTCATTCTATTCAAAGGTCAAGCAATAAATGAGGCTTAATAAAACATTATGGAATCATGAGCCACATACATGTTATATCATGTAAATAAAAAGAGAAAGCTCTTTGACTAGTTTCATGCTATGAGACTCACTGAAGGGTGCTGCAATAAAGAAATTCTTTTCAAAAAAAAACAAGAAAGAAAAATTCTTTTCAGCTACATGTTTTTATTTCTATGGATCTACTGATTATTTGGCTCAACTCAAAAGTAATGAACCAGAAGACAGGAACTAGGTCAATAAAAGGAATCAGAAAGTTAGTTAGGTTTCAATAGGAAATTATAGAAATCATTCTAAGAGTATTTAAGAGGACAATGAAATGGTATAGGTGTCAAAATAAGGTTAAAATAAGCAAGAATGGGATGAGAGGGTCACCATCTGGGAGTGAGTGAAACAGACTGATAAGCAGCAATGAGCAAACTTATTTCCTTACACAATAATGCGGAAGAAATTATATCATTATGCCAGATGCCAGAAGATTTCTAAATGTGTACCGTTATAGTAGAAGGTGGGAGGGGAAAAAACCAAAACAAATCCCACACTACACAGACACACACCAACCAAATTATGTAGCTCAGAGATCCTAGCTTACAAAATATGGAGAAAACAAAAGGAACAGATGCTCACTTGGCCAGCTCTCAATGAAACTCATTAAAATCATCACCCTGTCCTTGGATTGGTGCTCACGCACCAAGATTTTACCTTGTTTAGCCAGAAGAAACCCACTCGTGATAAAACCGAGAGCAGCATGGTCAAAAAGGAGAAAGGGTATTTTTCCTTCTTTCTTTCTTTCTTTTGGAGAGAGAGTCTCACTATTGTAGCCCTGTGTGGAGCGCTGTGGCATCACAGCTCACAGCAACCTTAAACTCTTGGGCTTAAGTGATTCTCTTGCCTCAGCCTCCCAAGTAGCTGGGACTACAGGTGCCTGCCACAATGACTAGATATTTTTTTTAACTGTTTTTTTTTTTTTTTGGTGGTAGTTGGCATTATTATTTGGCAGGCCAGGGCTGGATTCAAACCTGCCAGGTCCTAGCTTCTGAGCTATAGGCACCAAGCCTTTATTTCTTATTTTTGAAGATTATTTTTATTTTTTGCAGTTTTTGGCCAGGGCTGAGTTTGAACCTGCCACCTCCGGCATATGGGGCCGGCGCCCTACTCCTTTGAGCCATAGGCACTGACTGCCCCCTGAAGATTATTTTTAAAGGCCCAAATAATCATACTTCTTTTTCTATACACAAATGCTGGATATGAAATAGGGTTAATTAGCACTTGCTAGTTGTGAGAAAATGACCGAAAAAAAAATGTGGTTTATCATACTCACATTTTATAGCAAATTATTAAGACATCTATATGTAAGAGACACTTAACTGATGAACTCTACCTTTTTAAACCATAATTTCAAATAACTTCTAACATTTCTTAACATGGATCATTTCAATGGTTACATTTTATATTATATATTTTCAGTTGATAAGGCAGACCCAGAGACTACTGCATGTTTTAAGAACCCTCATGAATGGAGTTAGTGAATTTAAAAAAGAGACCTCAAGAGAGTTAGCTAGTTCTTTCCAGCATGTGAATGAAGACTACAGTGAAAAAGCTTTATAAATCAGAGAATAAGCCCTTATCAGATAACTCCTGACCTGTGCTCAAGTGATCCTTCTACCTTAGCTTCCTAAAGTGCTGGGATTACAAGTGTAAGTCACCACACCCAGCCTATATTATTTCTTAAACGTACAATCCTCTAACACTCTTTAAGAGTAACACTGAGTAAAGATGCCTATTACAAAGATAGTGCTATTACTATGTGATGTATATTGATGAGTAATATTACTTACTTTGGCCACACAATTTTCAGTCTTCATAGCAGTGCTTGCTAGACATACTGTTTCTTGGTTTAAGCAGAGTCTGGCACAGCTATTGTAAGTCTGCAAAGAGAATTTTTTAGAAATGGTTTTTAAAAATATTGAAATACTGCCATATACAGTTTTCAAATTCTGTACTATTTCTCAAAATAAACACACAAACAAATTTTAAAAAGAGAAGATGGTAAACGGGTACTGTGGCGGGCGCCTGTAGTCCCAGCTACTTGGGAAGCTGAGGCAAGAGTATCACCTAAGCCCAAGAGCTGGAGGTTACTGTGAGCTGTGATACTATAGCACCCTACAGAGGGCAACAAAGTTAAGACTTTGTCTCTAAAAAAAAAAAAGAGAGAGAGAGAGACGGATTTCTTACCCAGGCTGAAATGTAGTGGACACAATCATAGCTCACTAGAGCCTTGAACTCCTAGGCTCCAGTGATCACACTTCAGCTTACATAGTAGCCAGGATTATGAGGACTGAGCCATGGCACCTGGCCCTCAAAACACATTAAAATAAATAAATCGGATCATTTGAAACCAGTGCATAAACTATTGGTACACATAAATTCTAGGTTCTTCGGTAATGATTAATCCCACAAACACTCACTATTCACACACAATAACAAAACTTTTTTTAAAAATGAAATTTACTATGTTTGAAAAAGATATTTATGAAGTAATCGGTATTTACTGAATAAAATAAAACTTTAATCAAAGAATCCTGGTTCCAGAATGGCAGAAATGTTTGTAACAGATTAACCTTCCTGCAAATAACAATTATAAACTATGGAAAAAATGTAAAAACTATCTAAAGGCATCAGTGAAGATTAATATTCATCATAAGTAATTTTATGTAAAGAATGACTAAAACAGGCATAAATGGGAGTGGAGGTGGTGCTGACTCATCTTGAAAGAAGAAAACCATAATGGGTAAGATGTGTGTTTATGTGCTTTTCCGCAGAAGGCATTTGCCAGTTCACTTGGTGCAGGATGACCAGAATTGAATTCAGTTAGAAAACTATAGTCTAGGGCGGCACCTGAGACTCAAGTGAGTAGGGCACAGGCCCCATATACAGAGGATGGCAGGTTTGAACCTGGCCCCAGTCAAACTGCAACAAAAATATAGCCGGGCGTTTTAGCGGGTGGCTATATTCCCAGCTACTTGTGAGGCTGAGGCAAGAGAATTGCCTAAGCCCAGGAGTTGGAGGTTGCTGTGAGCTATGACACCATGGCACTCTACTAAGGGTGATAAGGTGAGACTCTGTCTCCAAAAAATAATAATAATAATACTAAAATAAAACCATAGTCTATTGGCTTGAGATATTAGGAAACGTAGTTGAAAACTATTAGTAACAGCTGGCAACTCAGAAGAGAAATCCCATAAAGTAGAACCACAGGGGAAGGAGGAAGTCTAAAAAAATGCATACAAATTTTTTTCAAATCCATGGTTAACCCCCACAAACTATACACACGAAGGGAAGACTACAGAGATGCCAACGGAAAGCAACAGCTGGACAGTTGAAAGACCTGAGTAAAGATTCCAGCTGCTGCTCATGAGGGCATCAATTTAGAATTTGATTCCTACCAATTTAGAGAGGCTTAATAAGCATCCCAGGCTTTCTGATGAACATTTAAAAAGAATTTGAAGTGTGATTAAAAAATATGTCAAAGGAGGCGGCGCCCATAGCTCAGTGGGTAGGGTGCCGGCCACAAACACCCAGGCTAGAGGATTCAAACCAAGCCTAGGCCAGCTAAACAAAAATAACAACTGCAAAAAAAAA